CTGGCGGGGAAAAAGTTCACGGCGCTTATTACCAAGCTGCCCAGTGCTTTTCTAGCTAATTGTAGAAGTTGGTTTATTTGGGAATTTTAGCAACACTTAGCTACTACACCAGTGTACCACGCGGTAGTGAAGATTTTACAAGAATCTAAGAAACATTCTTTTGCGGGAATAAAAATCGCTTTCTTGAGTATTAGAAAATATCGTTATATACGCAAGAGGGTATACAACAATTTTTAGGTGAAGAAATAATTATTTTTTTACATGAAAGGTTTGCACTTATGGGAGGGTGGTAGGGGCAGGACGGTAAAGTGGAGGGGGGGGTGGGAGTCGGAGAAAAGAAGATGCTGCCCGCATGCGGTGTGGATGGATGTGGTTGGCAGGCGGGGGCAGAGGCAGAGGCGTTTCGTCGCGTAACACAGAAGAGGCGTCCAGATACCGCCTCCTCCCACGCGCCCGCGGTGCCCCGTCCCCCGGAAGCCGGAATCTTTTCCCGCACTTTCACGCCGCACCCCCTCTAGATTCCCATAACACCACACAAGGCCCTCCTGCACCCCGGAATCTTTTCCTCTTCATTTTTGGGGAGCACGATGCGTTATTGAAAGAAAAAAAAGCTTTCTTGAATCCTCAGCGGCGTGCAATATTGGAAAAGATGGAGGGGCCGGATGACGGTTGATGGGCGGAAGATTCCCTTTGGCTGTCATGCGTATTCCGTGGTCCATTCGGCCAAGGAATCGCGGCGTCTCGGCTCGGCTGCTGTGTTGAAGATCCGGCTGGTGGAGTAGGTGAGACGTAGGCATCCAGTCGGAATAACCATCGGGATAAACGCAGGGCCACGTGGCTACCGCCATTGTAGCTCCTATCCGAGCTAGCTAGACTTGTTGGTGCTGGCCTGCTGCATGAACCTCCCAAAAGTTCTCATGGTCTTTTTTTCCTTTCAGAATTGTACCATATATATTTTTCCTTATAGACTGACTTTATGTATTTTTTAACACAACACAGGCACACACGCTTCTAAATACGCGCATACACTCATTTCTATAAACACGCTCACATCCAGCCTCTATGAGCACCTCCAAGAGACCGAGCCAGCACATCATCTTGAGATTGACGAAGTCGTTACAGACGCCTTCGTAGGTAACAGGAGTGCCTCCTCGCAGTGAACGCACGTAAGCGAAAGGCCTGAAACAAATTCAGAAAATTGCGACCACCGGTGTCAAGTCTAGGACTTGAACCCTGATAGGATGGGATATCAATGTTCTTTTAACCATTCAACCACAGATTAGTTCAGGATGGGCTATAAACCTGTCTACGATTTTGCTCAATTTCGTCGATTATTGCCTAGCGAGGTGGATGTGCTAGCAAGCATGTTATGCCTTTCGCTTCTCTGCTACTTCAAAATGATTGTGTGTATAATATCCTTGGCAAAAGTAAAACTGAGCACATAAAGTATAATTACAATTTTTGTTCATCAAAGCGAACTGTCGAAGATGGTGCCGAAGACACGTCAGTTGTGATTTGCGAACTGTCGAAGATACCGCGTCACCCATAAATCCACTTGCTGC